TCCATTCCCTCGTCAGATCTTCCCAAGAGATCTTTTTGTGCAGGTCGGCGACCTGGACGCCGTGGATGGTTGCCATGTGGTTGAGCCAGATCTGGCATCTGCCCTTGACGTTGAGGAACAACGCCGAGATGTACAAGTGATCAGGGACCTGATGAATCCGAAGCTCCGTCGTAAATCCCTGCCACCAGCGGACCGGGTCCTGATGCGTATAGTCATCAAACTTCTCAATCCGGAACGTCGGCATCTTGTACTGTCGCGATGCACTGGTGCTCCCATCGTTGTCGGGCGGCTGGTGTAGTTGTCGAACCTCGTTCTTCAAGGTCTCGAGCTGCTCGCTGATGGAGGTTGGTGTGGCGAAGGTGCTGATGTCGCCGAGCATCGCAAGTACATGGTCGAGTCATTGCTCCAACCGACAGTTTGAGGCTGCATTGTTGGGTTCGCCAGCATCTGGTCTTGGTGCTGCTTTGTTGCATACTTCAATGAGTATGGGCAGAACCAAAGATCAACCAATGTAAGATGAGCATATATGCAGCGGAAGTCTGATAAACGGACTGACTCCCATAGACTGACTCCCATAGATTGACTCCCATAGACTGGCTCACATAGACTGACTCACATAGCATCACTCCACACACATACAATCGTGAGATGGTGGGGTCTAGGCCATTCATAGACGATGCCCAGATCCCGTACACGCATTCACAGATGAAAGGTGGGAGGAGAGACGAAGGAGGTGGGGAGGTAGACAACACCGATAGATAGAGTCTGATAGGTCTCCGATATGGTAGTCCAAAATGYCATACAACAAGATCAAAATGTCGAGGCCCATAGGTCATCAATGTCGGAGATACAGAGTCTAGATGTAACCGGTGTCCAACTGTGATGCAGCCGAGTATCAACCTCAACAATCTCCAAGTCTCCAATCAGGTAAGTACCACAGTCTCATATCACCGAAGTCCAACTTTGATCTCTGTCCAACTAGTATAAGTCTCTAGTCTGAAGAAGAAGAAGAAGAAAAAGAAGAAGAAGAAGAAGAAGAAGAAGGAGGAGGAGGAGAGAGAGTGAGAGAGAGAGAGAGAGAGCTGACGAGGGAGGGAGGAGAGGTCCTCCGCTCCCAGGTACCTCAGGCGGCAATGGCCGCCGTGCTGGCTCAGTCGCCCTGTTGCTGCTCCGCTTGCCGCTGCGCTAATGCTGCGCTGCTGCTGCTGCTCCTTGCTCGCTCCTGCGCTAATTAGCGCATCAAACARCGCTCTGGCGCTGACCATACCGTACCGGTATAGTGCCGGTAGGTCGATGTCTCTAAGTGAGGCTGTACCGGTACTTTATACCGGTGGGGCAGAGGCCGGCCTCAATGCTGCGAGGCCTGGCCATGCCCTGAACCGTCTAGATGGACGGTTCAGCCCCAACCAGCGGGCGGCAGCCTCAAGAGCGCCGCCAGGCCCAAACGATAATGCCGTTTGGGCCTGCCCGTCGGGTACTGGTCCAAGATCAGGCCCTGAGGGCCTGTAATACCCCAAGGTCGGACCTTTAGGCCCTGATGTGTCCCTCCGGCCCTAAGTCGGGTCCGGTAGGACCCGTGTGCGTCGAAGATGTAACATGCTTGCTCCAAGTCCTGTACACGGTTGTGAAGTGCCCGTGTAGCATCCTCGTGCAGATCCTTGTGGTTTCGCACTGCCTGTCGGAGATTCTCTAGCCCAGATTGTAGGTGGTTACAAGTGTAAACCAACCGGTACTGCCTGTCGGAGATTCTCTAGCCCAGATTGTAGGTGGTTACAAGTGTAAACCAACCGGGTCACGAGTTTGGAGAGAAACTCCTTGTGCTGCTCTTCCGGTGTTGCGGCGTTGTGGCCCTCGGATGGTTCAAAATGCCAGAACTTGCGCCTGTCAAAATGCGATCTTGAAAAAAATTTGCGCGAAATAGAATGGAGGTTCCACCTTCAGAGAATAACAGGTCCAGTTTCCGAGAATATGACAACCTCCCTAGTTCACCTAATATGCCCAGAGTGAAACAACCAAAAAAAAAACGAAATGCTAATATCCGAATTTCCAGAGATCTGTTGTGAAAAAAAAAGTTGCAGAGATTTGACGAAACCCTACTTGATTAACTAATGAACAATCAATCAATCAATCAATCAATCAATCAATCAAGTTGGCTCCTTGATTGGGCGGATCCTCTGATTGAGAGGTCCGCTCCGATACCAAATTGTTGCATACCGTAATGGTGCAGACCAGAACAAGAACCGACCTCTCTCATATAGTACAGGATAGCGCAGCGGAAGGCTAAAATACCAATGATCAAACCAATCAATGTCGCAATGCAGACCAAACATACATCATCATCATCGCAAGGTGTGAAAGGGCCTGGCGCACACAGGAAGAATGCGCCAGGCTCATATCATACAGAAATGAAGAGGAGGGGGATCAGTCGAAGAAGAGGGGGAAGATGGGAATGTCGTGACACAAATGTCGTCTATATCGATCCCAAATAGTCTCCCGCCAATGTCTCTAACCCAAAACGAGTCTGTGTCCAAATGTCGTCAACATCCCAAAGTCACAAATCTCTCTCTATTTCTCTCTCTCTCTCTCTCTCTCTCTCTCTCTCTCTCTCTCTCTCTCTCTCTCTCTCTCTCTCTCTCTCTCTCTCTCTCTCTCTNTCTCTCTCTCTCTCTCTCTCTCTCTCTCTCTCTCTCTCTCTCTCTCTCTCTCTCTCTCTCTCTCTCTCTCTCTCTCTCTCGTAGTCTGTCGATACGGAGAAGTCAGGTAGCTGGAGGGGGAGAGAGAGATGGTGGACTGGAGGAAGAAGAAGAAGAAGAACTCTCTCTCTTCTCCTGGTGCCGGTACTGACCTGTGAAGGTGGCGCCTTGCTGCAGGTACCTCGAAGACGAAGCTGGAGCGATGGCGACACTGGTAAGCTCCCAGGTCTCTCTCTAACGCTACTCTAAGCGCACAGCGCTGAAGACTACTCCTAGCTACTACTACTGCAGCGCTCCGCAGACTGCTGCTGCCGCATCCTGAAGACTACCTCCTGGACTGCCTCCTGCCTGCAGCCTGCAGGGCGGACCAGTACTATATAGTGCTGGTCCGGCTGGGAGGCTGCTCTTGCCAATGCCGAATCGTGCCAGACCCTGGTGCTGAAGTTCACAAAAAAGGTTGTCTTGAAACGGGCCTAAAAGTGGCCTGCGCTTATCCCTGGTCTGGCGCCTAAGTTTCAGGAAAGGTCGACTTCATGAGGGCCTGAAAATGGCCCTTCTTTTTAGGCTTTTAGGCTGAAACGACACAGGGCCTGGAGGGCCCTTATTCCGCCTGGTCGGGCCCTGCAGGCCCGTGTGGTGCCAAGTATGCCACAGCGGTCCAGTCGTTGTAGGCTAGGTCTAGGCGGTTACCAGTCCAACCAGTCTGAGTCTAGGGCCTGTATGGGCAATATCAGAGTCTGCAATGATGTTTCCCTCCGAAAGGGAGGAGGTACCAGTTGCTTGGAAGGCCGAGCGACCTGGAAGTCATCGCCCAAGAGGCAAGCAGGGTGCTATATCTCCAGGCCGGGCGAAGAGCCCAGCCTCATTGTCGGTGTGCAAGTTCGGCGACACACTGGTTGGAGCTCTGGCTGGAGCAGCGCTAGCAAGAGCAGCGCTGCTGGGGAAGGAGCAAGGACACGGAGGAGGAAGAAGACCAGGAGGAAGGGGGAGCGCCAGAGGTACTTACCTGGCTATGGCGGCAGCCATCTCAACCAACTTGGTGGGCGCTGCAGCAGGAAGGTCCCCGTTGGGGCAGAGCTACACCAAGAAGCTTCGAGGCAGAGTCAGGCATGGCGGCCTGAGCTGCTTTGGGCTGTCCTTTGGGCATCAGGGCAAGGCCTAGTAGTCCGCCATAGCCTCGGCCTATGAGGGAGGCGGCCATGGCTATGGTGGACCTCAAGTGATACCTGCAGTAGAAGAGGGACTCGCACATTGATTCTGGTTCAGCCATTCAACACTGTATTATTATTTCTTGTGTGAGTAAGAGAGGAGTAGTAAAGGAGGAGGAGAGTGTTTGGGGAAGAAGAAGAGCGTTATCATTTGTCTATGCCGGTGTACATCATCTTCTTCTTCTTTCTTTCTTTCTTCTTCTTCTTCTTCTTCTTCTTCTTCTTCTTCTTCTTCTTCTTCTTCTTCTTCTTCTTCTTTCTTTCTTTCTTTCTTCTTCTTCTTCTTCTTCTTCTTCTTCTTCTTCTTCTTCTTCTTACCCTCTCTCTCCTCTCAAGTTCATTCATTTCTTTCTGCAATTAAACGGCATTGTACTATCTGACGAATGTGTACTTCGAAATTGGCCAGGATCATAACAATGGACTAAGAACCTTCCCACCAGCTTGGGCTAAGGAAGAAAACATCTAAGCGCTTAAGTGTCCCTACCAAGCTACCGTCCAAGGCCGAGGAACACCAAATATAACCTGTTTCCGAGGGATGCATCAGACGAAACCCATCTCATAGGCCTAGGTCCACCAATTAATCCACAAGTGCCGTGGTGTCCGCTCCCCCAGATGGATCAAAGTCATCTAGCCAACGGTTCCAATCACCAGCCAGCAACAAATTTTCAATAACTGATTTGTGCGCTGTGAGTCTCCAATGCATCTGCAGACTGCAGATTTGTAGTGAACTGACATAACCGCCCAGTCTGCTCCATTGGCCTCAAATTTCACCGAGATCCACCGACCCCGGAGATCTGCAACAAAATGTACAATGTCCACTGCTAAATCCCTATAAACTCTAAGATGCCTACCCCGCCTCTAGTAGCTACAGCTGGGGCCCATATCTGCTGTCCATTGCACCAGTAGGGTCCAGTACCCCTCCCCGCCCGCCTCACGCCACCGCACTCATGCGAGGGCTCTATCGTCTCCCTCACCATAGATTTCTCACCCACATACCTCATGCCCCCAGCCAGCCCACTACATGCCCTATCACAGACACACCACACCCCTCCTGCCACTTTCCATTTTACGACCCACTACCATTCCCCTTCTCTAGGCCTCGCTCTCATCTCATAGCTAAGCCCCAACAGCACTCCCCCCCCCCCACCCCCACCAAATAAGAGGTGGTCCTTTCTATTGGTGGGGATCTGCACCTGCTGGAAACCCGGTCTAGAGTCTGAGCAAAAGAATCACAGTACCCACTCAACGCTTCCCCACTCTACAGCCCAGGGAACCCTGACAACATTGATTACTTCCCTCAGAAAGGAGCGACTGTCATTACACCCAAAGCCACAAGTCAAACCCCTCCCATGTCTGATAAGGATCCCCATTAAAAAAAAAAAAAAACTCAAGAAACTGCCAGAATGATCTCTCAGTCCACCTTGGCGGATTGCCAGAAAAAAACAATACTAACAATAAAGTTGAATAAACGAAGCTGGCTGAAGGTCCTTGAGGAAGCTTGAAACCCACTGGAACCTTTCCCCCCCCTTTTTTTTTTTTAAGCCCAGGGTGTTGTAGAGGCCAAGGATCAGACCCGCGGTGATTGCTGGTAGCAGCAGCCAATGGTTGTCCTGACAGGATATGCCACCTACCCTACCCATCCCCACATTAATACTCCCAGCGCACCCCCTGTTCCTACTATCCTGCCTCAGTGTGACCAGCACTCAGGACCATCACCCTACCAGTATTGAGGGCAACTTGGACCAGACAGCAGTGACAAGCGCACCAGGGATGGGCCAACCTCCCAGCCCTAATGGAAGCGGAAGCGGACAAACCTTTCCGTATGGGAACTTCGGACGGCTGACCCTGTGTCTTTGTTCCTCATCTTGAAGCCAGATTGATGCCCCCCATCTATGAGGTGCTCCGGTACAAGTTGTCCTCCTGAGATGACAGTGCACCTGAAGCTGACTGGCCCCCCGGTCCTCCACTTGCAGTTAATGGACCCTGGTTCCAGTGTGCCAATCTTCCCAGCACCAAGCGTGTTTGTTGAAAACTTGCTTCTAATGTCCTGGTCCTTGTCTGCATTGTTCGCAGCCCGTAGGGGCTGCATTTACTGCCCTTGGCTTTGTCGTTTAGTGTCGTGCAGCATGACGGTCGTTGGGGGTGTACTAGTAGTTGAGGTGCGTGATGGTCGTTGAGAAGGTGGCCGGACTAAGAAAGAGGGGCTAAAGTGGTAAGGAATACGTCAGCAACCTGAATTTTTGGGGCGCCCGGAATTTTGAGGGCAGGCCGCTGGAGACCGGCTGCTTGTGTGGATGGGTTTTGGAGGGGTTCGAGGGTTGTTTTTTTTTTTGCTTTTCATTGGCTGATGCTGTTTTGTCTGCCGTGATTCCTGTTTTCGCGTTTTTCTTTTTTGCTGTATTTCGTTCTTTCCTTCTTTCTGTGGAGGATGTAACGGTCATCTCGCTCCACTACTTACCAAGTAAACAAAATGAGAATGCATTTTTTTCTAGAGCAAGGGTAGATGCATCTGAGTCAAAAATGTTTGTTTCTTTTTCTTTTTTTCTTTTGTTGTTCATGATGTGACGTCATCATATGCATGTGGCCTCGTCTGGCTGACAGCCTTGCACATCGAAGACTAGCAAAATCAATGGCCAGATTGAGTCCCTTTTTTACGAGGACTCGATCTGGCCGCTGATTTCGGAGTCTGCAACGACAAGTCCATTTTGGGACTACATCATCACTACAAATCTTTTTTTTTTTTTTTTTTTTTTTTTTTTTTTTTTTTTGGGTGTGCTCGTTGTATGCATCTGACTGCAAGGATGTTCAGGAACGGCACGCGCGGGGGGAGGTCCGGTTGCGCTTCCGCAGGCGCTAATTTGCGCTCGGACCAAGCGTTGTTCGGCCGGTAATGGAGAACGTAGGGCAACAGCTCCCGCAGTCAACATGACGGCGGTCTGTAAGTGACGTCATCTAGCCCGCGCCTCTAAGCGGGACCAGGGATATTGACGAAGGTTAGTACTCCTGCTAGTTTTGACGACACATGTCTAACAGGTACCTCCCCACGACCACCATAGTTAGGACTACACTTGTACGTCCGCTTGTAACAGATGATAGACAGACACTTCCCTCAAGTTTTCTCTGCCTCTGTTCTAAAGCTAAGATTGCTCTTCCAGGTCTAACGGCCAACCATCCACACTTCCTAGGTTCCTCATTCATCTCCTCAAGCACTTCTAATAGCAACACCGTGTCTAATGGAACCGAAAACGGGGACAGGGATAGCAAACAGGTCCCCTCCCCTCCCCCCGTCCCAAGAGAACAAGGTGAGGACGATGTGAGAGTTAGAGAACTCCTTCGTCTCTGTTATGAGGATGGTATCCTCCCAAGAGACATAGACCTTGAAGAAATGACTGTTCAAGGATAAAACGTCAGATTCAAGGTCAAGGAGTCTATCGATCGAGTGAAAGTTCAGTGGCTGAAGGATCGGACAGTTACCGTAATCTATAGGGATGCAGCACGGTTTCTTCCAAGGAACGTGAAGGAGGATCTTATTCGGGCATACGAAGACGAGAGACTTCAGACAGGAGACATTGGAGAAGGATTCAGCAGGGGCAGAGTCAAGGTGGAAAGCCTGAACGTCGCTTCTTACGTAGCGAAGAGCACAACAATCTTTGCTTGGCTCGTGGACAAAAAAAGTGCTGAAGTAGAACTTGGGGGCACCCCATACAAGCTGGAGTTCAAGTCGTGGCTCACGAATGCACAATTGAGAGAGCAACGAAGACTGGAGGAGCTTACGACCTTTTGGGTCGTCGCGGTGCAGGTCCCACTGGATGCCATGTTCTATTTGGAGTCACACATACGGCGAGCTATCGGCCCAGTCACTCAGGTATATCCGCCTGAACAAGACCGAATGAGACCGGCGCTGGTAAACATCAAGTTTGACCTGGATCCGCAGGCCAGGCAAAACATGAAGGATTCCATAATCGTGGAGACCTTCAAAGGAGACGAGCTGGTTGTCAAACTCGCCTACCTGCTCGCCTCCCGGGAATAGACACGTGGGTCGAAGCGCGTTCTGTGCTTGATATGGCTGGAAGCCACCTACGTATCCCGGGTGGGCCATCTGGGAGAAGAGTCCCGATGGTTGCCCGAGCGGGTGCTGAATATTTGGTTGAGCAAGCGCCATCTCCTGGAGAAGCTGGGCAAGAAAGCCATTCGGTTGCATCGCTTGTGGCGGAGCCAAGTACACCGGATTCTGATAAACGTTCACAAATGTCCCCCCCGGTGCTTGGCTGCCTGCTCCTCGTGCTGATGGGGCCGCTGGTTGGGCGCTTCCTCCTCCTCTTCCCAGAGGTCCCTGGTACACCGGTTTTGACGAAGCTTCTTGTGTTGCTTCCTCTCTACCCTCTTGCCCTCCTGATCCGCCTTGCTCTTGTCTCGTTCTGCCTATCCTTCTGCACTCCACAATTGAGTGGAAGAACGCGCGACATCTGCGACAACGTGGGGTTTCCGATGGAGGAGGACCGAACTCAAGTCAGGCACCCGGGGGATCAGGACGACTGGGTACAGCAACACCAGGAGGAAGAATACCCGGAAGCACCCCGGGGAAGCACCGAAGGGTGGACAGCGAGGGTTACACGATCGAAAGGGAGGACTCGGCAGCCTCGTTCTGAAGCTCCAAGAGCTCAGACATTCAAGAGATAGTAATCAGTACACCCGACATGAAGACCACCAGAAGAAGAACTCCTACCATCTTGGGCCGCGGGCAGTTGGATAACGTGGAGAACAGGATCTTACCAATCATGTGTATTACAACAAAGGAGATGCTCTCAGTTATTGTGTGGATTAGTGGAGATGGTGTGCCAGAGTTGTTCAGCACAACCTCACCAGAGCAGTCGATGCCAACCTCGGTCTCAAACATCGTTCAGGCGGCCGTTCGAGGGAAGTTCAAGGTTCGTCTGATCCCAAACGAACCAATGGGAAGATTCATCTTGGACCTGGCGAATGTCAAGAAGTTGAAATTCTTCGCCCCAATCTTTGATGCTCGTATGGAGACGGCTCAACTGATTAAACTGGAACAGGAGGGGATGAGACTCCTCCCACTCAGCTGGTTTGTGGAAGGAAGACGACCAGACCAAAGAATCAAGGTTCCTCCGTTTCAGACGGGGGAATTCTTGACGGAACTCAACAGCAAATTGGCGAGAGACAAGAAACTCAACTCCAAGTTCATCAGGGAATTCCTACAGGCACCATGGGAACCTTAACTGTCAACATCAGGAACGGCTGCCCCAATCCAACAAACGACGGGGAGATCACGCATGAATGGGTAGAATGCGTCTCTCCACCTGGAATCTGAGAGGGTTGGTTGACTCGTCAAGTAAGTTCAAAAAAGCTAGGCTGAAGTTGTGGATTCACGATAAGGGAGTCCAGGTAGCATGTTTGCTAGAAACTAAGTTAAGTGAAGATAGGATAAAGGATCCAGGCTGTTGGTGGGATGATCCTCAAATTTGGTCGCCTGCCCAAGGCACCAGAGGAGAGGTAGCCATACTAGTTCATAGAGATGCAGAGCTGGAAATCCTAAATTACTATGCGGATCTTTGGGGAAGTTGGGTTCGGCTGAATGTGTGGGCCGATGAGAAGGAATGGCTTATAGTCAACGTGCATGCTCCTACAGGTTTTTTTGAGAATCTGAATTTGCTAATTCCCACTTGTCCCAATTTAATTCTTTCAGGCGACTGGAACGTGTACTTGGACTCGGCGGCCACTAAACCAGGCTGCCAAAATCCGGCAGATGTCCTAAGTCTCCTTAGACTAATGGACAACCTCTCGTTGATAGACCCGTACCGCCTCTCACATCCACAGGAAGAAGGACATACGTGGTTTTCAAACCATCGGGAGGGCATAGGGATAATCAGTCGCTGACTGGATTATTTTCTGATCATAGAGAATCTGTGGGATTAGGTAGACACAATAAATATTCACACCCATCCCCTCTCAGATCACAAACCCGTGCTCCTACAACTGCACACTTCAACTGTAGCAAGGGGAAAAGGCTATTTTCGCTTTAACACCCAAAACCTGCAGGACCCGGGATTAGTAGCATGGATGAAATCCTTTTGGATCGAATGGGAACAAGCGAAAGATCGATTCGTCGGGCTTGAGGATTGGTGGCAGACGAGCACTACTATTTTCTCTAAACAGTTGAACGTGTTCTCAAGGATCCTAGCACTAAATAAGAGCAAGGAGGAAGCTAGGCTCAAGAGGAGAATAGAGGAGGCGGAATATAAAATGGAACGACACCCGATCTCTCGCATGGTTTGGGGTAAGGAAAGAACAAGACTGCTATCAGAATGGGATGCCTCACAACAAAGAAACTCCGAAGCGTGGTCCGAGAGACTGAGGGTCAAGGGCATAGCCATGTATGATAGGATGAGCAAGGAAACCTTTTAGAAACTCATTCCCCGACGGGCTTTACAACCGATTACTGAGTTAAACCATCCCTTTGACCCCCAGGCCCCTAAGGCAAGGGACCTTGCAAAACTGAGTGAAAATGCAACACTCTATTACGACGACATCCTCACCTCTCAATTACAGGGCCAAGCGATCGATCTGGACCTGTTTCTACAGTCCTCCCACTGGGATAACATGAAGGAGTGACTGCCCAACTCGACTTGTCTCCTATTAGATAGACCAATTACTAACGTAGAAGCCAAAACCACACTCAAGTCGATGGCACATGGGAAAGTTTTGGCTGATGACGGTATCCCCGTGGAGCTATACTTGGCTATCTGGGATGAAGTACGAGAAAACCTGGTCGAGCTTTACAATTCAGTCCTCATTGGAGGAAGCTTAACCAAAAACATGTGTAACGGGATTATCTCAGTTCTATACAAGAAGGGGAATAAGTCTGAGGTAAGGAATTACCGCCCAATAGCTTTGCTGAATGTCTCCTATAAACCATTAGCCAAGACGCTAGCCCGCAGACTAAGTTTGGTGCTCCCTGATCTAGTAAAGGACGACCAAGCCGCTTTTGTTAAAGGCCGCTCGATATTTAATAACATTGCGACCGCTCTCCAATGAGCTCAATACGATGGTTCTTCTCTTGGATTTGGAGAAGGCATACGACCGAGTTACGACCGAGTTAATTGGTCATATGTCCTCTCCACCCTGAAACTTTTGAACTTCGGAGAGAACTTCCGCAGCTGGATCACAACAATGTACGTGTACTCAACTGCGGCGGTGTTGGTGAATGGGGAAATCTCACGAAATTTTGCCTTATCTCGCTCCCTCAGATAGGGATGTCCATTAGCACCCTTGCTCTTCGTAATCCAACTAGAGGTCTTAATGAATAATATCAGATCCCATCCGCAAATACAAGGCCTCCAAGTGGGTAGCCTTGAATGCCGAGCTAAGGCCTTAGCAGACGACTTGTTGGCCATATCCAAGAATAGCACTGAGTCCCTGGGAGCGCTCAAAGGCTGTCTAGACGAATATTCGGCACTCTCTGAGGCATCAGTAAAGTGGCACAAATCAACGTTTCTTTTGCCTAACCAATACTCGCGTAGTTGCAGTTGGGGGATGAAACAGGTGGAGAATAACAACACAAAAAGGTTTTTCGGGGTACAAATAGCACTGTGTGACAGCAAGGCTGACCAGGATGGGCTGCTGCTTCAGAAAGTGCTGCATAGACTAGCCACTTGGGGGAAAGCCCCGCACCTGTCAATCTTTGGCAGGGCAATGGTAGTTAATGTCTCGCTCCTATCCTTGTTGTGGTTTGTCGGAGCAGTCCGTAAACTGGGGCAACAATTGTGCCCAATGGTAAGAAGGCGAGCAGCCAGATTTGTGTGGAAACCCTTTGCATCTGAGGAAGATTCCTTCATCTCAAAAGCCGCTTGGGAGTTGATCACCACCCCGCGGCAAGAAGGGGGACTGGGGATAACAGATCCGGAAAGACGGAACGCGGCCACGCTTGTGCGATGGATCATCAAGTCAATCTCGACAGGGAAAACTGAGCACTGGATCTTGCTTGGGGAACAGATTTTGATGAGGGAATGGGATCTCACTCGCCCTGAATATGTCTGGACCGCCATGTTAATGTACTCTCATCAGAGAAGAAGAATCAAGTCTCCGTTCTGGGCACCAATCATTAAAGCATGGAGACGACTCAGACCAGACACGGCGGAACAACTGGTCACAAGACAAGAAGTGCTCAACGAACCGATCTTCGAAAACCCGCACATAACCGACTCAACCAACCAGTGGCTCAAGGCAGACACAGCCAAAGGCAGATTCGGCCGAACCTGGAAGGAGAAGGGGGTAGTAACAGTCAAAGATCTCTGGAATCCGACAAGCGGCCGCTGGCTTGTCTCAGAAGAACTTCAGTTAAAACTCGGCTCTATGAGACAAGTTGAGGAGAAGCGGAACAGGCCGGAAGCATGGAGGGATCGCCTTGACCCAGCAGGCCTGGACCCTCCCGACAACTGGTACCGCTCCTCCAACAGATTACTGGGATTCTGGAAACTCATCGCTCATACAAACGGCAAAATAATTTTTCAATGCTGGTCTGTTCAGTCCCCCGCCTCAGGCACACTGAAGCTGGTAGAGGAACGAACCCACCCCGACCTGGGTTCAGTACTTAGCCAGGTTAGAGTGTTTGGAGAACCAGGGCAGGATGGCACGCTGGTATGCTGAGTATTTGCAGACGGCCAAGCGATAGAGGATATAAGATTGGATCCCGCCCTTTGCACTTGGAGGGCTAAGGGCAGCAACGGAGAGAATCCATCTATCGTGAGTTACACTTCCCAGATAGGGTAGAGAATCCTGAGCACCCCTAGACAACCCCTGGCGGTTGCAGTCAGTAGATGGTTACAGGTCCTGCAAATCTCTCCTGAGAAGATCAGTCAGTCACTCTCTACGTGTTGGGAACAGTTAAAAGTGATCCCCAACCAAAGACAAGCATCCCTGTTGTGGCTGCTGTCCTTCCTGGCCACTCCATCAACCGTCTGGCTAGCTCAAAGAGGCATTTCACTGGATCTGACCTGTAGCCGTTGCCAATGGGCGTTTGAATCGACGCCACACTTGTGGTGGGATTGTCCAGCTTCGAACAGAATCTGGAAATGGTGGGAGAAATTTTAGCAAAGCCTAACAGGTCAGGCATTGGAGTGGTCTGGACAGTGGGTCTTATTAGGTGGCATTCCTGAGAACCTGCAAACCAAGACGGGCTGGGGATACGTGGCCCAAATAGCCAGAGCCGCTGGCATCGAGGTGATCTGGCACGAACGAAACAGCAGAGTCTTCAAGAAGAGAGAGCTCTGCAACAAAGAGATCCGGCATCGGTTCAGATCTAACCTGAGAAGATCGATCCAAGCAGACTGGAGAAGGAAAGGATGTGCATCAGCCGGACCAGGAAGATCCTGGTTCCAAAAAGACTTGGTGTTTGTGTGAGCAACTAAGC